AGAGGAAAGGCATACCTTTCACTCCTTTAGAACCCTGCTTTACTGCCCTAGAGTGTGAAAGCCTCGGAACAGTTGGAAATATTGAGGTCCTCTAAGGTAAGTGCATAGCAGCAGTGATAACACCTAGGCCCAGAGGAAAAGTACACTCAAAGTCAGTTTGCTCTTCAGCCCACAGGTCCCAGGTCCCCAAGAGCAAGAGTGATCAAGTGAAGGAATGAAGGAAGAAAAAAGAGGTACTTGTGGACTTGGATATCATTATTTCTAGGGACAACTTCAAGCAGATACCAAGCTTTCTGACTCTAAGAACTTTGTGGCAGATGCAGAAGAGACGAAAGACAGAATCCATGTTACTGTTTTGTGAGCACAGAAGAAAATGATCAAGGCCCAGGTGATTTTTGTTTGTTACGTTTTTCCTATGTTTTCTGACAGATTTGTGGTGACCTGAGAAAAATCACTTCAACCTTTTAGTATAAATTGGGATAATTGGATTCTGGGGAGAAATTAACTTAGATTCTAAATTCAAAAGCAGAGCAAAGTGAAATTAGGAATATATTACTCACAGGGGTCATCCTGAAGGACTAATATTGGAACACAGTGTGTGACTGGTGCATCCTGTGGGTTACGGTAGCTGTCACTTTGAGTCTGATATCTCTAACAAACATCATAACCAGAGAGACATGAAAAACTATGTGATGTGCACTGACTCTGTGGGGAAGGCAGACCGGTTTCTTGGGGGATTCAGTAGTTTATGCCACTTAGGCCTCCTGAAATTTCTTTGGTGGATTTTCTTGGAGGGCATCAGTGAGGTGTATTCTCCCCTGCAGCCTTCTGGTGAGTGGAAAAGCAGATTTCCTATAGCTGTCTCTTACAGAGGGCCTCCTCTGGGAATATGTCAAGCAGAGGTCAGTGGGTACAGTTCTTCAGGGCACCATAGTCTGGTGATCCAGGGACCCAACTTTATGGCAGTCTGGAATAAAACCACTGAAATGGCATAGGAAAATGAAGATTGCATGACTTTCAAATGGTCCTCCATGAACAGGTAGTTGAAGTGGAGTTTGAGTACAGATTTGGCAGTAGTAGTAGTTGAGAAAGTGTTTTTCTCTATTAAGGGTTTGGGTTGTTGGCCTCCATGGGGTTTGATTTAAAACTTTCATTCCATCTCAGAAAGTGGGGTATTTTTCCTGTGTTTAAATTACCTTCCTATTTGTGTTTTTATTTTATTTTGTTTTTACCTTTTTTCTTTTATGTACACAGGTGACTGACTCATGGTAAGAGAGTGCCTCTTAATCCCCTGGTGTAGCATTAATACCTGGTAGTGCATACTTCTTATATGTATCTGTTTGTGCATTTACATACCTAAATGTATATACCTGTCATATTTTATATGAGTGGAACAATACTGCAAACAACACAGATAACTATAAGGGGCTTCCTATTAGTTGAAGTACCACAGGCCTAGTACCAGTTGAGCATCTAAAAGAAAGATGACTGCACTGGACTGAAGCATAGTAGCTATGCAGCTATGGAAAAGTCCATGAGTTTGGGGTGCCTGGGTGGCTCAGTCGGTTAAGCATCCAACTCTTGATTTTGGCCGAGGTCATGATCTCAGGATCATGAGATTGAGCCCTGTGTCAGGCTCTGTGCTGAGTGTGGAGCCTGCTTAAGATTCTCTCTCTCCCTCTCCTTCTGCCCTCCCCCACCCTTGGCTCGAGCACGTGCACACTCTCTCTTTAAAAAAAAGAAAAAAAGTCCATGAGTTCATAGTCATACTCAAAAAACAAACAAAAATCTTTGGAGTTTGATGGGAACAAAATATTTGATTTTTGAAATGATAAATAACACAGTAACACATGTTCAGAGATTCACTCTGAATTTAATAGAGTTAGTGTGAAATAGTACAAACTTCACTGATAGCAGCTTGGTACTCCTTGACCCTTACACTCATGTATGAATCACCTCTCCAGAGTGAGCCACAGTTATTTTCATGTACATCCTCCAAACTCTTTTTTAAGTGTGTTGGCATTCTTTACCTGTTGGTACCTATAAGCCAACTTTCTACTTTTTCACCTGACTCGATGAACTTCAGATGTTGTGTGAGTAATAATTAAATAATACACTTATTGATGAATATTTAGATATTTTTGTTATTACAAACCGTAAGAATGAACTGCCTTGTTAATGGCTTTTTGTGAAATTGTATCAGTGTTCAGAGTAGCTACAGAGAAATCAACTATGGGGTGTGGTCATTTCACATTTTAACAGTCCAACTCATGGTCAGTGTGGCATCATGTTTAAAAGTGTAGGTTTTGCGGCCGGTTGCCAGCCGTGTGACTGCGTTCTTCAGTTATAGCCGTCACACCCCTTTGCTTATGTAGAATGGGGTTAATGACAATGGCGCTTAAATCATAAGGTAGGGTCTAAAATGAATTAATCTAGACAAAGCATCTAGAAGAGTGCCTGGTTGATAGAAAGCGTTATGTAAGAACATCCAGTGCTCCTCAGCTTGCCAACACTTGTTGTGTTATCAAATTGCATATTTTCCACAGTCTGTATGAACCAATATTCTTTTGCCTTATTTTATTTTGCATTTTCCCAATTGCTTGTGAGGTTCAGATTCTTGTCCCTTTGTTGCTTTTTTGGATTATTTCTTCTGTGATATGTGGTCTTCATTCTTGGCTCATTTGAAAAATCATTTTTTGTCTTACTGATTTGTAATTGTTTATCTTGTGATATATTGATCTTTTATATGTTGCAGTTATTTTTCTAGAATCTTGTCTTTTAGCTTTTCTTCTTAATATCTTTTTCCATGCAAAAGTTTTATTTTTGATTCAAATTAAAATTTGTTAGCCTTTTCTTTATGGCTTTTTACTTGTGCCATAAACATTCCATGTTTTCTTCTATTCTTCCATAAGTTCTTTCTTTAAAAGTTTATGTCTTATATTCATTATCTATTGGTGGTGTGGCATAATAACATATATATCTATCTGCCTAATATATAGTCTTTTACCCTGGTTCCTGCTAATATTCAATCTTTTACCCTGGTTCCTGACACAGAGTTTTCTAAAACTCTTATAATTTCCTCGGTGATAGGAGTGTCTGTCACAGAGCTCCTAAATCCCTTGGAATTTTCTTGGTGATAGGACTGTCTTTTGTTCTAATTAGGTGACTCTTGGTGTGGGCTCCTGGATGTCTTCTGTGGGGGCCGGTCTCTAGAAAGATCAAGTCATGATTAGAAGCTTGGAACTTGCAGCCCTGCCCCCATCCTCCAGAGTGGGGAGAAGGACTGGATAATGAATTAGTAATCCGTTATTAGATCATGTCCGTGAAATGAAGTCCCCATAAAATCCCGAAAGTACAGGGTTCGGAGAATTTCTGGATTGGTGAACACATCTACATGCTTGGAGGGTGTAGCATACCCCAACTCCACAGGGACAGAAGCTTGTGGGTTCAGGACCTTCCAGACCTTGCACGAGGTACCTCTTCATCTGGTTCATTGGTATCCTTTATAATGTCCTTTACTATATAATAAACCAGTAAACGTTAAGTTAGTGTTTCTCTGAGTACTTTGAGCCGTTCTAGCAAATGATTGAATCTGAGGAGAAGGTTGTTGAATCCAAGGAGAAGATTGTGGGAACCTCTGATTTGTAGCCAATTCTGACAGTGTGTTACCTGGAGACTCCTTCCAGGTGGGCAAGCAAGCATGGCTTACTTAGTCTGTGTTGTTTTTACTCACAATACTTCTGATACCAAATGAGGTTTTTTCCTCTTGACACCAAATATGTGATCTCTTCCAACACCACTTCTCCAGATTGACACTGGACTCTCTGACACTGACTACCTGCAGTTAGCATCAGATTACACAGATTTAAGAGTGCAGACCTGCAAGAAAGCCACCACTTGGGATTCCAATCTCAAGTCTTGGTGTTCTGTACTGACTGACGGGCTCTAAATCATGGTTTCTGCGGTCCCTTTCTCAGGACAGAGTATGGGGGTGTGCCACCCTTCCAATAGCATGATGTGCTCACCAACTTGGAAGTTTGCTGAACCTGTGGTTTTGGGGGGCTTTATGGAGGTTTCATTGCTTAGGCATGATTGATTAAATCATTGAACATTGGTGATTGAACCCCATCCCTTAGGTGGGGCTAAGTTCCAACCCTCTAATCATGTAGTTTGTTTCTCTGGTGACCAGCCCCCGTCCCGAAACTATGTGAGGGCTTGGGTTACCAGTCATCTCATTAGCACACAAAACACACTCATCACTGTGGAGATCTTAAGCATTTTAGGAGTTCCTTGTACTAGGAACTGGGGCCAAAAGCCAAATATTTGTTTTTTGTCATATCGCTGCTGGGTACTTTGTTTCACAGTCGCTCATGAGCCTGTAAGCAAGGTGTAAGCCAGGGAGGCATCTGATCTGGAGGCTCGGGTGGGGAAGGATGCACTTCTAAGCTCACTTACTGGGTTGTTGACGGGATTCATTTCCAGAAGGGCTGATCAAGTGAGATCCTCAGTTCCTACCTGTCTGCTCATGTAAGATTCTTATTAGTTCCTTGCCACATGGGCCTTCCCTACATGCCACTTGTTTCATCAAAGTCATGAAAGGACAGATTCTGTTAGCAAGATGGAAGTCACTGACGGAGTCACCTAGGCTCCCCATTTCTACTAAAACGCGTATAAGAAAAGTATATATAGGGGTACCTGGGGGTGCTCAGTTGGTTGAGCGTCTGCCTTCGGCTTGGGTCATGATCCCAGGGTCCTGGGATCGAGCCCCACATTGGGCTCCCTGCTTGGCAGGAGGCCTGCTTCTCTTTCCCCCTCTGCCTGCTGCTCCCCTTCTTGTGCTTTCTCCCTCAACCTCTCTGTCAAATAAATAAAATCTTTTAAAAAGAGAAAAAAAAAATGTATATAGATGAGGCTATATGGTGATTAGAACAGCCTCCCTCATGCTTCCATATTAACAAAAGTAATTCACATCATATTAAATAGGACTGTGTTAATTACAGGAATCACTGACACTGGAGGATGTGGCCGTGGACTTCACCTGGGAGGAGTGGCAGCTCCTGGGCCCTGCTCAGAAGGACCTGTATCGGGACGTGATGTTGGAGAACTATAGCAACCTGGTGTCAGTGGGTGAGGACAGCTTTCTGTGTCACTTAGAGGTGCTCAGTCACTGGCTTTTCCTCTATCACTTGATGAAAGCTTTGCAATCACTGTGGTCTTCCGAAGAGTCCCCTATCTTGGCCCTAAACAAAGGAGTATAATCTTTTCTATCCTGAAAGAGAACTTCTAAATACTTTGCATGTGAGAAATCGCTTTATCTCTAAAATGTAATATTTTCCCATCTCAACTTACTATACCCCAAGTCACTGCATCTAAGTCTTTTGTCATTTCTCATGAACAGGGTGTCAGGCTACCAAACCAGATGCATTGTCCAAGTTGGAACACAGAGATGAACCATGGATAACAGAGGATGAAATCCAGAATAGAACCCATCTGGGTGAGTGAGTACCAGCAACGGGAGTGGCTGAAGAAGTTTTATTCTAGTCTTTAAGAGAAGGTGTCACAGCTGTGAGGGTGTCTGAGGATACCTAATCAGCTCCTCCGCATATTCCTTTCCCCAGATAAGAACTCTTTTTCTTTTGTGCGTATTTAGCTCTAAATATGCTCCTTACCTCTTCTTGGATCTGATATTTATTTCATTTTAAATCTTTATAATTTTCTTTTAAAATTATATAGTCAACAATAAAGAGCCACCCCCACCACATCATCTTTAAAACATTTTTATTCCATACCACCCTTGTGAAAATTTGTTGTTCTCTTTTTTTCCTAGAATTCAGGATGCTTGATAGTCATCTGCAAGAGCACTCTCAAAACCACAGATTTCTGAAGAGCACACAACAATACGGGGAACAGAGTACATTTAGAAATACTGTTCATTTGAGCAAAATACATTTTGCCATAACGCAAAATCATGTGTTTGATTTATGTAGAAAAGCTTTGAAATCAAGTTTGAGTTTAGTTAACGAGAAGAGAAGATATGAAACAAAAAAGGCTGTTGAGTTTAATGGAGAAGAAAAATCTTTTCTGCATGGTAATCAGGAACATTTGTATTCTGGAATTGAATTCCCTGAAAGTGCAAAACATATCAGCACTAAATTCCAAGACTTTAAGCATCAGAGGACTCACAAAATAGAGAAACCCCACACATGCATCGAAGGTGAGAAAACCTGCATCAGGAAGCCTCGGCTTATTTACCATGAGAGCAGTCATAGAGGTGAGAAACCCCATGAGTGTGATCCATGTGGGAATTCCTTCTCCAGAAATGTCATGTTCACCAAACATCAGAAAACTCATACACAGGACAAAGTCTGTATAACCAGTGAATACAGAAAAGCCTCTAGTGTGAAGAGCAGTCTCACTTTGCCTCAGCAAACGCAAACAGCAGAGAAATCCTACACATGCAGTGACTGTGGAAAAGGCTTCACCATGAAGCGCTATCTGATTGCACATCAGCGAACTCATAGTGGAGAGAAACCTTATGTGTGCAGTGAATGTGGAAAAGGCTTCACTGTGAAAAGCAATCTCATTGTGCATCAGCGAACTCATACAGGGGAGAAACCCTATATATGCACTGAATGCGGAAAAGGCTTCACCATGAAGCGCTATCTTGTTGTCCATCAGCGAACTCATACTGGAGAGAAACCCTATATATGTAGTGAGTGTGGAAAAGGCTTCACAGTGAAGAGTAATCTCATCGTACATCAGCGATCTCATACTGGGGAAAAATCTTACATGTGCAGTGAATGTGGAAAAGGCTTCACCACAAAGCGCACTCTCATTATACATCAGCGAACTCACACAGGAGAGAAATCTTACTTATGTAATGAATGTGGAAAAGGCTTCACCACAAAGCGCACCCTTATTATACATCAGCGGACTCACACAGGAGAGAAACCCTATGAATGCAATGAGTGTGGTAAAGCCTTCAGCCAGAAGATATGCCTCATACAACATGAGAGATGTCATACAGGAAAAACTCCCTTTGTGTGTACTGAGTGTGGAAAATCCTATTCTCACAAATATGGTCTCATTACCCATCAGAGAATTCACACGGGAGAGAAACCCTATGAGTGCAATGAATGTGGAAAAGCCTTCACCACAAAGTCAGTACTCAATGTCCATCAAAGAACTCATACAGGAGAGAGACCATATGGATGCAGCGATTGTGAGAAAGCCTTCTCCCACTTGTCAAACCTTGTTAAACATAAGAAAATGCACACAAGAGAAATGGGTAGATTCAGTCAAGTTGTAAATTCCTTTAACACAGAGTCGCAGCTCATTACTTATTAGTGAACTCCTACAAAACAGAAGCCCTATGAATGTGATGACTGTGGAAATGCCTTCTGTGGCAACGGCTTCTCTGGGAACCAAGACTTCATTAAACATCAGTGTTTCCAGCAGATTGGAATGTAATCATGGTACTGCTGGTTGTTGATGTGTGTCCTGCGGAGATTAAAAACTTGTCTAGGAGGTAAATCTGGTAGCTACAGTGAATGTGTTGTAGTGACTTCAGTGATCCTTACCTCATATTTTCTGTCAGTGAAAACATGTTGGGAAAACTCTGATACATTCAATGTGGAAATGCTTTGAGCAAAACTTTCTAGCTTCATTATATTCTGAAAAGTGTATACTGAGATAAATTCTGTGAATGCAGAGACTAGAAAGGCTTTCAGGGGGAAGGTAGACTTTATTATCAGGGATCATCATAAATCATCAGTGAGCTTATTGTTTATAGAAATATGATTTAAAAAAAAATTTATGATGACCATGGGAAAGCTTTTACCCAGAAAGAAGACCTCAGTGAGGGTCAGAGTCCACACTGGAGAAAAACTTAAAGAGGACGATTATATATATATATATGGCGGGATATCAGTGACACATTCTGCCTCGTTTTGTCAGGAAATCATAGAGAAATGAAAACTTCATGAACATACTAAATGTAGAGCACCTGCAGTCAAATATCAGAGAACTTATGAAGAAATGAAGTCCTGTGAAAGTGGTAAATGTCAGTGCTTTTAAATGTTACAAGTCTGACCTCATTATACATCAGATAATTCACCTGATGTACATTTTCAGATGATACTTTGAAACCCTTTTCTAGTGGCCTTGTCAGTAATTCCTTAGTTTTAAAAAGTATAGTCTGCTTTCCTCATCACTGATTTATTGTTATACACCGTGCAGAGTGTTCTATGGAGTATTCTAGGACTACTCTGTATTATATGATTTTTTACCTTTCTTTGGCTCTAAACTTAATTGTAAATTTAGCATACTGAAGTAGTTTTTTGGCTTTTTTTTAAGATTTTATTTATTTGACAGAGACACAGCAACAGAGGGAACACAGGCAGGGAGAGTGGGAGAGGGAGAAGCAGGCCTCCTGCTGAGCAGGGAACCCGATGCGAGCCTCGATCCCAGGACCCTGGGATCATGACCTGAGCCGAGGACAGACGCTTAACCATCTGAGCCACCCAGGTGCCCCACATACTGAAGTAGTTTAAAAGGAAACTGTTTTAAATTTATAAAATAACAAGTATTTATACTTGCTTAACTAAGTTTATAAATATGACCAAATATTTTATAAAACCACCTTCCAAGTTATTTTTATAAAATGTTTAATTTGAAATCATTTTAACTTACAAGAAATTGCAAAATAGTCCAGAAGACTTCCCTAGTATCCTTTACCTAACGCCTCCCAGTAAAAACATTTATGTAAGCCACATCTTATTGAATCCAGGAAAATGACATTGGTAGTATACTGTTAGCTAAGCCCTTAACCTTATTTGGATTTCATTAGATTTTCATGGTTTTTTTTTATGTTGTAATTCTAAGAAGTTTTATTACATATATAGATTCATGTAACCACTACCACAACCATCACATAAGACTGTAATCAACACAAATTTCCTCATTATACCTTTTTATGCTCATTCCCTTTATCCAAACCTACCTCTAGCAACCACTTACCTGTTTTCCATCAGTATAATTGTATAATTTTATGAATGTTACAAAAATCATTTTTACAACTGGATTTTATATATTTTATATATAGGTTGTATTTATTCATATAATTTTATATTTTTTCCATAAAAGTTATATTATTAACTATATACAAATTTATAATTTTTTATTGGTAGGAAGTATGTAAGCTTTTCATGTTTTTGTCATTTGGCAAATTGCTCCGAAGACTTACGTGAGTTAATGGATGGTTGTTTTTATTAGTGAGTAATACACATACTGGATGACCAGTTTGTTTATCCCTTCATTCTTGGAAGAGATTTCCTCGTTTCAACTGTTGTAAAGATGGTATGAAATCTGCATACAGGGTTTTGTGTGAACAGAAGTTTTCATTTCTCTACAATAAATACTCAGGTGTATGATTGTGGGGATGTATGGTAAGTTGTGTTTAGCCTTATAAGAAACTACCCTCTTCCATTATGGCTGTGCTCTTGTACATTCTCACCAGCAGTGTATGAAATATTGTTCTGTGTCCTCTCTAGCACTTGGTATTCAGTGCATTTGACACTTGAACAACATGGGGGTTAGGGGCACTGACGCCCAGGCAGTTGAGAATCCACGTATAACTTAACTACCAATAGCCTGCTGTTGACTGGAAGCCTTACCAATAACATAAACAGTCGATTATGTGTTATATACTATATTCTTAAAGTAAGCTAAAAGAAAACCAGACTTCTGGGGCGCCCGGGTGACTAAGTCAGTTAAGTGTCTGACTCGGTTTTGGCTTAGGTCATGATCTCATGGGTCGTGGGATTGAGCCCTGCGTCAGGATCTGAGCTCAGTGCCAGGTCTGCTTGAAAAATTCTATCCCTCTGCCCCTCCCCCTGTTTGCTTGCTCTCTTTCAAATAAATAAATCTTTAAAAAAAAATAAGACTTATGGGGAAGACAAATACCATATGATTTCACTCATATGTGGAATTTAAGAAACATGAACAAAAAAAACGACTTTTTTAAAAAGATTTATTTATTTACTTGAGAGAGCGAGAATGAGAGAGAGAACACGAGAGGGGGGAGGGTCAGAGGGAGAGGCAGACGCCCTGCTGAGCAAGGAACCCAATGCAGGACTCCATCCCGGGGCTCCAGGATCGTGACCCGAGCTGAAGGCAGTCACGCAACCAACTGAGCCACCCAGGCGTTCCCCCAGACTCTTTATATAGAGAATGATCTGGTGGTTACCAGAGGGGAGGTGGGTGGGGGAATGGGTGGAAAAAAGGGAGATTAAGAGTACACTTAAAGTGATTGGCACTAAGTAATTTATAGAATTATTGACTCACTATATTGTACACGTGAAATTAATATAATACTATATGTTAATTATACTGGAGTTTTAAAAAATTATAAAGCCTAACAAAATCATAAGGAAGAGAAAATAACATTTACAGTACTACACTGTAAAAAAATCCACATATAAGTGAACTCATGCAGTTCAAACCCATGTTGCTCAAGGGTCAACTGGGTATTTCTTTTAGCCATTCAACTAGCAACATAGGAGAGATTTAGTTGCTCTCCATCCTCCCCAGCAGTTGGTATTGTTGCTATATTTTACATTAACTATTCTCTTAGGTATATAGTAGTAAACAATCTTGAGCTTAACTTACATTTCCCTAATGGCCAACGATATTCAACATAGCATTATTACTACTATAATTAGACTTATTTATCTTACAACTGGAAGTTTGTACATTTCGACCATCTTAAGGTATTTCATCCACACCCCACCCCCAACCCTGCCTGTCACAACCACCAATTTTTCTCTGAGTTTAGTTTTTTTTTCTTTTAGATTCCACATATAAGTGAGATCATACAGTATTTGTCTTTCTCTGACTTATTTCACTTAGCATAGTACCCTCAGGATCTATTTATGAGTCATAAATGGCAGGATTTTCTTTCTTATGGCTGAATAATATTCATTTGTGTGTACATTTTCTTTATCCATTCATTTTGTGTAGGAAGACACTTAGGTTTCGATGCCATGGCTGTTGTAAATAATGCTGCAATGAGCATGGGAGAACAACTGTCTTTTTTTTTTAATTTTTTTTTTTAAAGATTTTATTTATTTATTTGAGAGAGAGAGAGAATGAGAGATAGAGAGCATGAGAGGGAAGAGGGTCAGAGGGAGAGGCAGACTCCCCGCCGAGCAGGGAGCCCAATGCGGGACTCGATCCCGGGACTCCAGGATCATGACCTGAGCCGAAGGCAGTCGCCCAACCAACTGAGCCACCCAGGCGCCCCAGAACAACTGTCTTTTTAAGATAGTGATTTCATTTCCTTTGGATAAGTTCAAGTAGAATTAGTGGGTCATATGGTGGTTTTATTTTTAATTTTTTGAGGAAACATCACACTGTTTTCCATAGTGGCTGCACCAAATTTACAGTGTCCTTCATTCTTTTTATGTCTGTATGCATGTTCATTTATGATTTATTTAACAGATCACCTACTGATGTACATTCATATTGGTATTAGTTACTTTGCATTATAAAATCACTTTCCTAAAAGTTAATGTCTCAAGACAAACATTTACTAATTCTGTTGTGTGGGCCTAGGGTTGGATGTCTGGTGGGGCTGTCTGGACAGAGGCTCCGCGAACTAAGTGGCTACACCTCTAAGCCTCCACTGGAATTGATGGGGTCTTTCACAGGCTCTCATGCTGCAAGAGGCTAGCCTGGGCTCTATTCTAATGTGTTAGAAGAGCTCCAAGAGACACATAGACCATACCTTACTGAGCAAGTCTAGTTCTATCCTGTTTGTTATTTGTCCTATTAGACACATTGGTCAGTGTCACTAGGAAGGGATGCTATCCAAAAGTGAACATAGAGGGGCGCCTGGGTGGCTCAGTCGTTAAGCATCTGCCTTCGGCTCAGGTCATGATCCCAGGGTCCTGGGATCGAGCCCTGCACCGGGTTCCCTGCTCCGCGGGAAGCCTGCTTCTCCCTCTCCCACCACCCCTGCTTGCGTTCCTTCTCTCACTGTCTCTCCCTGTCAAATGAATAAATAAAATCTTAAAAAGAAAAAAATGAATATAGAGACCCAAGAGTAGTACATTTATGTAACAAGCACAAGAGTGTTTATTTCTTTAAAATTGTCAAAATTGATGCCATAATTACCCTTGTACATGTTCTCAAAAAAAAAATACTGAATCAATTTTTGAAATTAATTGCTGGTTTAAAGAGATGAAAAGTTTAAATTGGATAATTGCAGGATTTTACTGATTTATATGCCCTCGTCTGAATCCTGCCTCCCCCAAAACACATCAAATACCTAATATTAAGTATGTGCATTTTAAACTTCCAACTATGATAAGCAAGATAGTACTCAAAGCTGTATGTGGTGGACAGATGAGAAAAATAAGACATAGCGTAATCGAGTGCCTTTATCCCATGGCCTCGCCACTCTGGAATGTTAGTCTTCGCTCAATCTTTTTTTTTTTAATTTTTTATTATGTTAATCACCATATATTACATCATTAGTTTTTGATGTAGTGTTCCATGGTTCCTTGTTTGTCATCGTTCAATCTTTATGAATCTTAAGGCTTAAAATATTTTTGCTTCATGTTTACTTTGCATCTATTTGAATATTAGATGCACTTTTTAAAAAATTGAGTATTTGCAATTTTTTAAAAATAAGTGGCTTATTGAGCTATTTAAAAAATTAGTCTTTTTCTTATTCCTTTTAGAATAGGATGTGGAGAGTGGATCTCATATATTGATGGTGGAATGGGTTGGTATACTGACTGGAAAACAGTTGGCAATTTCTCTCTCACATGCATACGCCTTTTCCTCCATTCTTCCCTATTTCTGGCCTTTGGTCCTCAAAGCCTGTCTTCCTCTCTCGACCCAGGGAAAGCTCCGCCTGCGTCCTCGCTCCAGCCCTTCGCCCTGGGCACTAACCTTTTTTGACTTTCGGTGGCCTTTTCCCCTATTACTCGCCCCCAAGCCTAACTGGCGCGTTCCGGCGCTTTTATTTCCTAGTCAGTGACCACCATCCCTATGCCCTCAGAGCTTCTGCGGACGTCGTGCTTTGTCCAAAAGTCGCTTCAAGCCCATTTTTGCTAGAAACTCGGTGGAGGAAGCGTCTGTAGGTGGGTTCGCCTTTTCCCAAGCGTGTTTTGTGACGGACAAATACCTCCACTTCCTGTTAACAGGGTCGTGCCAACTGAGCCGTCTAATTTTAATCTTCTAGTCGGCTAGCTGAAAGGGATGTCCGCCGCGTCCTTTTTGCCCGGTTTAAGCGTCCGCCTGGACACGCCCGTGCGTTTCTGCCGGACCCACCGGCCCGTCCGCTTTCCCAGCCGCCCCTGCTCGCGGGCGCAGAAGAGGCCCCTCGGCTCGCCGTACGACCGTCATCCAAGATGGGCGCCCCCGTAGGGCACGGCCAGGGCGCGGCCATGTTGCCGCAGCGGAAAAACCGGGATCCGGTTGCCTTTTCTCTGGAAACGCCTCAGACCCTTGTTGGCCACCGTCCCGGGGTGCTGAGGGACGCTGGCGAAGTTTAGCGAAGTAAGTTCAGGCGCCCACCGGTCGCGGTGGTGTGTGGCGAAAATCAGGTCGGTGTCAGGGTGCGTTTGTGGGTCGACGTTCGCCTTGGGTGATGCGGCTGGGATTCCAGGGGGCGGAGAGCGTCGGCGCATGTTCTTCCGTGTTAGGGTGTGAGCTTGTGGGCGCCCCTGGCGCCAGTCAGGGAGGTGCTGTCGCGGCTCGTGGTGAAAGCTCTCTGCGGCTCGGCGATCTGGTGCCCAGGGCACACCTGGGGGCCGTCTCCTCTCCGGGGCTCAGAGCTTGCTAGCCGCAGCGTTGTGGCTGTCGGAGGAGGCTGCCTGCGGTGCGGCATTTGTTCGGGGCTCAGAGATGAGCGGTTTCGGGGTTCACGTGCAGGGGTCTGTGGGGGCTCACGGGGGTGCCGCCCCGAGCGCCCGGGGCGCCGGGGCGAGTGTGGGTCGCGCCTGGAGGCCCGGGGCTTGGCCGGGGCGTGTGCTGAGGCCGGACCTCGGCTGCTGCCGCAGACGCCAGGTGCGTTTGCGTCCCCCTGCTGCCCTGTAGCCCCAAGTCTTCAGCTCTAGTTTTTAAACCCTCTTGGGCAGCCAGCCTCACCCCTTCCTCTCGAACTTGCAGCAGTCAAAGTTTTAGATAGAAGCCTAGCCGCCCGAGCCACCCATACACATCCTGAATCAGTCTTCTGTTGGTGCCTTTTAAAGACAGTTGCTGTCCTCCAGTTACTCTAAATGCCTCTGCGATCACCCAACTAATAGAGTTCTAATAGCTTTTTACTCGTTTCCTTTGTTTACTTGATGAATCTTGTTTACAAGTAGTCTTGGCCTGCGGTGAAGTGGAATGAAAGCGAATTTTAGAGTGAGTTGAATCTGATTTTTATTTTTTTGAGATTTTATTTATTTGAGAGAGAGGGTGAGCAAGGGAGAGAGCGTGAGCTGAGGGGCAAAGGGAGAGGGAGGAGCAGACTCCCCACGAGCAGGGAGCCCAACCGAGGGGCTCAGTCCCAGGACTCCAGGACCGTGGCCTGCGGTGCAGGCAGACGCGTACCCCACCGAGCCACCCAGGCGCCCCTGAAATGAGTCCGACTTTTCAATCCCATTGTGTAATTGATGTGACCTGTCTGTTTCCCTGATGGCAAAAAGAAGTTAAAGTCTCTCCCTCAGGTGTTGTTTTGAAGATTAAGTGAAGTAAAATACCTAAAATAGTGATCTGTGATGGCAGGATCCTAGTATATTTGACTAAAAAGGCTGATAATTTCCCCATATTTATGTTTTTGTGCTTTGTAAAATTTGTATTTATAACTCATTTTCTCTCTCCCTGCCTCCCCTTTGTTTCTCTCTCTTTTTTTTTTTTTGGTATGAAAACTTTTAAAGCTATGAACTTGCTTTAATGATCTAGCAACGGCAATTTTATTTTAATTGTAGAATGCTGATCATTTTCTGATTTAAAATATAAGTGCTCTTATGAAAAATATAATGAAGAAACTAAATGTCCTGTCAAATATTATACTGTTGCCAGTATTTCCTTTTCAGAAATTCTTAGAAGTAGATTTTTTAAGTTACTAGCAATACTTTTATTGACTGTTTTAAATTGAATGTTAAATTATTCCAGTGAAATGTCTTGTGCTTTAACACTGACCTTGACCTATGTGTGCTTTAAGATGGTATAGAATTTTTTAATTTAAATGTTATAACTAACCACCTGACTCAAGAGGTATATAGATATGTTAGGTGAATACTGATAATTTGCCTCTTTTTTTAAAGATTTTATTTATTTATCAGAAAGAGAGAGAGAGAGAGAGAGCAAAAGCAGGGGGAATGGGAGGCAGAAGGAGAAGCAGGCTCCCCACTGAGCAAGGAGCCCAGCAGAGGACTCGATCCCAGGACTCTGGGATCATGACCTGAGCCAAAGGCAGTCGCTTAACCGACTGAGCCACCCAGCATCCCCATTTGGTACTAATTTAGACTTAAACTCTTACCAGTTTTGTTTCTCTTGACTCCTTGCTCCTCTACTTATGTTGGAGGATCCTTTCCTTTTGCTTGAAGAACATTCTTGTTTGCTGTAACACAGGTCTTCTGATGAAGAATTTTCTCTGCTTTTGCCTGAAAATGTCTTTATTTCAGTTCTATTTCTAAAGAATATTTTTGCTGACTATCCTATATAGGTTTATACTTATAATACTCTAGAGAGTATCAAGAAATAGATGGTAATGAGAAATTAAATAAGACCCTGCTTATTATTTGCTTAGCACAATGTTCTCAAAATCAAAGTGTATGCATCCTGGGATGTCAGAAGACTTTTGAAGAGGTAGATGGACATGCATGATTTAAAAGATAAATGGGGCGCCCGGGTGGCTCAGTTGGTTAAGCATCCAACTCTTGGTTTTGGCTCGGGTCGTGATCTCAGGGTCATGAGATTGAGCCATGTTGGGCTCCGTGCTGTGCGTGGATCCTGCTTGGGATTCTCTCTCTCCCTTTCTCTTTGCCCCTCTCCTGCTTGCAGGTGCTTTCTGTTTCTTTATAAGTAAATAAATTAATTAAAAAATAAAATAAAAACGAGTACATTTTAACTGTCTATATGTCCTCTTTTCCTAAAATGGACCCACCTGAGGAGTCCCCTGCCACTGGGCATCATGCTCTTCTAGGGCTGTGTCCCACATTCCCCCCCCTTTTTTTTTAAAGATTTTATTTACTTATTTGACAGAGAAAGAGAGACACAGCGAGAGAGGGAACACAAGCAGGGGGAGTGGGAGAGGGAGAAGCAGGCTTCCCGCTGAGCAGGGAGCCCGATGCGGGGCTCGATCCCAGGACCCTGAGATCATGACCTGAGCCAAAGGCAGACGCTTAACGACTGAGCCACCCAGGTGCCCCCCACATTCCCTTTGACAGTCATACTACTTCTACTCTACAGAAGAAAGGTGTGCTTCCCAAACCTTCTGAATGTCATGTTTTCTTGGCCCAGAGCACTGAATAAAAAGATCTTTTGGGGCCTTGGTTTAAGGTGAATGCAATGAAACAGTGACAACATCTGGGCCTAAAGAGAATGTACCACCCGGAGTAATTTGCTTTTCGGCCTGTAGGTGCTGGCTTCCCAGGATAAGAGGGATCAAGGGGGAAAGGAAGAGAAGATTCCAAGACTTAGGTAACGTCATTTCTGGGGAAACCCTTGATTGGAGACTGAGATTTTTGAACAGAAATTTAGAGCTGATCCAGAAGAGCTAAAGACCGAGAATCCAAGTTAGCAGCTATTTCCCAAAATCAGAAGAAGATGATCCAAGCCCAGGTGACTTTTGGTTTCTTTTATTCTTTACTTTATTTCTCAATGGATTAGTAGAGATCTACAAAAGAAAAGTCAGTGCAATTAAAAAGAAAAGTTTAAATTGAGAATAGCAGGATCTGGAGAAATCTGGGTAAAGTAGAATCAGGAACCTATTTTTCATAGGATTCGTACTTTGTGATTCATGTTGGAATGAATACATGTGACTGTGTAAGACCCTGTAGGTCACATTAGCTGTCAGTGTGCTGCAAATATCTCTGACAGTCATCACAAGGGAATCTTGGTAAGTTTCATGGTAGGCATTACTGTGATCTGTTTCTACTGCCGACACTTCTGACACCAAACATGAGTTTTTCCACACCCATGACCAGTTCTCCAACTCTCCAGATACCACCTGTCTACAATTTGATTGAATCTTGACACTGACTACATGGAGTTACTATCATACTGAAGTTTAAAGGGCTCAGCCCTGCAAGACTGCCCGCATTTCAGAAGCCAAGTACTGAGTGCCCAGGGTACCCATACTTCTGACTTGACTACAAATAGGCAGTTCCCACAGTCCCTTCGTCGGTTTTGATAAATCACTACGGTGACTGACATAACTCAGGAAAACCCTTTACTTCATATTTACCAGTTTATTATAAAGGATAGAAGATGGGAAAAGCCAAATGGAAGAGAGGCGTAGAAAAAGGTATGGGAGAAGGGGCAAGGACCTTCCATGCCCTCTCCAAGCAAGCCACCCTCCCAGCACCTTGATGTGCTCACCAACCTGGAAGTTCTCTGAGCCCTGTAGTGTAGCGTGGGTTGTTTTCTGTTTTTTGTTTTTTTTAATATTTTGTTTATTTGAGAGAGAGAGCATGTGCATGTGCACAAGTGGGGGAGGGGACAGAGGCAGAGGGAGAAGCAGACTCCCCACTGAGCACAGAGCCTGACGCAGGGCTCATACCAGGACCCTGTGATCATGATCTGAGCCAAAGTCAGACACTTAAACCACTGAGCCACCCAAGTGCCTCCGGACTGTAGTGTTTTTTATGGAGGTTTCATCACGTAGGGGAGATTGATTAAATCACTGGCCATTAGTGATTGTCTGAATCTCCAGTCCCTCTCCCCACCCTGGACAGCTGGGGTGGGGCTGAAAGTTCTAGCCCTGTAATCAATAGGTTGGTTTCCCTAGCAACCAGCCACATGCTTAGGTTTATCTAGGGGCCTGCCAGAGTTACCTCGTTAATATAAATTCAGGTATGGTTGAAAGGGGCTTATTTATAAATAATGTAAGATGCCCCTCCCACCCCAACCACTTAGGAAATTCCAGGGCTTTAGGAGCTCTTGTGCAAGGAACCAGAGAGGAATACCAAATACAAACCTCTTATTATATTGCAATATCACAGGCATTGACTGTGAGGAGAAAACAGACCGGTTTCTTGAGGGATGTTAATGTTTCATGGCACATAGGTCTGAAGTCACATAGGTCTTTGATGGTTCTTCAGAGAGATGTTGTGGTGGGTGAGGTCCTTAACTGCCTTTACTACTTATAAATGTAAAAATGTATTTCTTACAGCTGTTGCTTCATTGTGTTTATTGTGGTATTAACCCTGCCTAATTATATGCACACATACATATATATTTGTCTATGTACATATACGTGTCCATAAATACGTTCTTTATAGTTTTTTTTTACAAATTTGTTTAATTATCTGTTAATCCTTTTGTTTTATACAGTTTCTTTTATTTTGTTTATTAAGCACTGAAATAGTATGTATTGTCTCATGACTATTATCTGCAGTCTCTTCATTACTGGTTTTGGTATTGGCTCAAATGCTCATGGTGAATTTAGAAATCTGTATTATTTGTCTGCTTATAAGTATTATAGTTCAGTATTGGCAAGTAGATGCTCAAATATATATAGATTACAGATATTCTTACACTAGGCAAGAGGGTTTAGTGACACCTATTACAGAAACTTTCTTAAATTTTCAAGTTGGTTGAATGAATAGAAGATTGCACAATGACATAATATTATACAAGATTTCTTCTTCACAATGTATTAAAGAATAAAAACCACTATTTCCTATATGGCGAAATGAGCAGAATAATTTCCTTTATCTGTTTTTTCCATATCACCACAAGAATATCACTTCATTAAACATAACTGTGTTATAACAGGAATCCCTGACATTTGATGATGTGGCTGTGGACTTCACCTGGGAGGAGTGGCAGCTCTTGGTCCCTGCTCAGAAGGACTTGTACCGGGACATGATGTTGGAAAATTATAGGAACCTGGTATCAGTGGGTGAGGACAGCTCCCCTGTGTCACTCATAGGGTGCTCTGCCAGTGGCTCTTTCTTTCTCAGCTACTTAACTCTTTATTTTTTTTTTAAGATTTTATTTATTTATTTGACAGAGAGAGAGAGACAGCGAGAGAGGGAACATAAGCAGGGGGAGTGGGAGAGGGAGAAGCAGGCTTCCCGCCGAGCAGGGAGCCCGATGCAGGGCTCGATCCCAGGACCCCGAGATCATGACCTGAGCCGAAGGCAGTCGCTTAACCAACTGAGCCACCCAGATGCCCCAAACTTAACTCTTTTTTTTTTTTTAAGATTTTATTTATTTATTTATTTGAGAGAGAGAGAGAGAGCACATGAAAGGGGGAGGGTCAGAGGGAGAAGCAGACTCCCTGCTGAGCAGGGAGCCCGATGCGGGACTCGATCCTGGGACTCCAGGATCATGACCTGAACCAAAGGCAGTTGCCCAACCAACTGAGCCACCCAGGCGCCCAAACTTAACTCTTTAATACTTTGAAATGGTAGATCCTCAGATCCTTCTCTTGCCTTAGACAAGTGGGTATAATGTCCCATCTTTTGAGAGAAAAGCCTTGATGTTACAGATGTGAAACCTGTTTAGTCCCTAAAATGTAACATTATCCCTTCTTGATCTACCCCAGTCCACTAGGTCTTCTGTCTTTTCTCACGAACAGGGTATCAAGCCAGCAAACCAGATGCACTCTCCAAGTTGGAACGAGGAGAACTTTGGACGCTAGAAGATGAAATCCACAGCCGAATCTGCCCAGGTGAGTGAGAACTGCCAAGATGGGCGGCTGCAGTAGTATTCTGGTCAGTCAGAGAAGGCATCAGAACTGTGACAGTGTCTGAGGAAACATAAACAGCCCCTCCCATATGAGAACTCTTTTCTTTGTTGAAGTTTAGAGGAAAATATGCCCCTTTTTTTTCTTTTGAGATTGGATCCCTGCTTACTTTATATATTTCTTATTTTTGTTTGCATGGTCATCTTCCTAGGATTTTCTTTTCTTTTTTTACTATTTTTAAAAAAGATTTTATTTATTTCTTTTTAGAGAGAAAGCATGCGTGAGCATGGGGAGGGACAGAGGGAGAGGGAGAGAAAGAATCCTCAGCAGACTCCCCGCTGAGAGCAGAGCCTGATGCAGGTCTCAATCCCACAACCTGAGATCATGACCTGAGCCAAAATCAAGAGTTGGGGGCGCCTGGGTGGCTCAGTTGGTTAAGCGACTGGCTTCGGCTCAGGTCATGATCCTGGAGTCCCGGGATCGAGTCCCACATCGGGCTCCCTGCTCAGCGGGGAGTCCGCTTCTCCCTCTGACCCTCCCCCATCTCATGTGCTTTCTCTCTCTCATTCTCTCTCTCTCAAATAAATAAATAAAAATTAAAAAAAAAAATCAAGAGTTGGATGCTCAACCGACTGAGCCACCCAGGCGCCCCCTTTTTAATTTTTTTTTGAGGATTTTTATTTTTAAGTAATCTGTATACCCAACACGGGCCTCGAACTTACAACCCCAAGATCAAGAATTGCGTGCTCCAGTGACTGAGCCAGCCAGGCTCCCCCTCCTAGAATTTTCTATAATCTTCTTCTTCTTGATCCACCATGACAGTGTTTTTACCTGTGTTAACCACCTCTCCTGCTATGAAATTCCACTTTCCAGGCCTCTCTGGAAAGAAACAACTTTGACTTCATCACTTTTTTCTTACTACTTTGCTTGCCTGCCTTACTAGGAAATAATGATTTTGTTCCATAATATCTAACCCCACGTTGGATGCTTTGTCTCCATGATAACCTGGTTTTTGCTGTGCAGTTACGTCGTTCTTTGGCTTCCCTCCCCCACTTTCCCACCAGAACCCTGGAGGTTCTCCATACTTCTGTTTTCATTTTCTTCTCAGTTCTCATAACTCTGAAAAGCTTCCTTTATTCCCATGAATTAACCTTTTTCCCTTCTCTCAGACATCCAAATTGGCTTCTCTAATGCATGCTTTCTTTCTTTGTATTTTGCCCTTCTTCATGGCAGTTAGCCTATGACTTCCCATTTTCTGTGTGAGAACAGGAATTATCTTCTCTCCATCCTTTTTTTTTTTTTAATTTAGGTTCTTTTTCAGCTCAACACAACTACAGATTTTAAATTTCTCCCTATTCTGGCGTTACCTCATTACCTTGAATGTTCTCTACTTGTGGAGCTTTCTTCTTTTTGGGGGGTGGTGACGGGTAGAGGGAGAGAGAATTTTAAGTAGGCTCCACTGCCTGACACGGCTCAATATCACAACCCTGAGATCATGATCTGAGCGGAAATCAAGAGTTGGATACTTAACCGACTGAGCCATCCAGGTGCCACTGAGCTCTCTTCTTAAAGGTCATTTGATTAACAAGAAAATATCTTTTTTAACATGCTACATGATTTCTAACCCAAACCATGTCATAACTTATGTCTGCTTCTAATTATCTGCTTCGTGGTTTTGTTAATTCATATTTTCTTTTAGTTATTAGATGTTATCACTGCATTTATTTTCCTAAAGCTTTTGTTTTCACATGATTTTTTTTTTTTTTTTTTTGTAATTCGGTCAATCATGCCCTGACACTGGCTGTGCTGATTTATTATTACTTTTCAATTTCTAAAGTGATGGCAAAATGGAATTTCTACTGATTTTTTAAGACTTGAGTCTGATTCTTTTTTTTTTTCCTATTCAAGTATAATTAACATACAGTGTTATTAGTTTGGGGTATACAGTATAATGATTCAACAATTTTATATATTTCTCTGTGCTCATCAAGATAAGTTGCTCTTAATTCCCCTTATCTATTTAACCCATCCTCCCACCCACTTCCCCTCTGGCAATTATCAGTTTGTTCTCTGTATTTAAGAAACTGCTTTTTTGTTTGTCTCTTTTTTGCTTTGTTCACTTGTTTTGTTTCTTAAATTCCACATATGGGTAAAATCACAAGGTATTTGTCTTTCTCTGGCTGACATATTTCATTTAGTATTGGATCCTCTAGGTCCATTCATGTTGCAAATCGCAAGACTTCCTTCTTTTTTATGGCTGAGTAATATTCCATTGTATGTGTATACAACATCTTTTTTATCTTTTTTTTCCAAATTTTTATTTAAATTCTAGCTAGTTAACATATAGTGTAATATTGGTTTCAGGATAGAATTTAGTGATTCATCACTTACATATAACACCCAGTGCTCATCACAACTACCCTCCTTAATACCCATCATCACCCAGTTAGGCCATCCCCACCTCCCTCCATCAACCCTCAGTTTGTTCTCTATAGTTAAGAGTCTCTTATGGTTTGCTTCTTTTTTTTTCCTTCCTGTATGTTCATTTGTTTTGTTTCTTAAATTATACATATGAAGTGAAATCCTATATTTGTTTTTTTCTGACTTATTTCACTTAGCATAATATACTCTAGCTCCATCCACATCATTCCAAAAGGCAAGATTTCATTCTTTTTGATGGCTGTGATACCACATCTTCTTTATCCATTCATGTCAGTGGGCATTTGGGCTCTTTCCATAGGTTAGCTATTGTTGATAATGCTGCTATAAACGTCAGGGTGCATGTGCCCCTTCAAATCTGTATTTTTGTATCCTTTGCGTAGATACCTAGTAGTTCAATTGCTGTATCAGAGGGTAGTTCTATTTTTTAAAAAAGATTTTATTTATTTATTTGAGAAAGAGCACGTGAGAGCGCACAAGCAGTGGAGAGGGAGAAGCAGGCTGCCCATGCAGGGAGCCTGATGCAAGGCTCAATCCCAGGACCCTGGGATCATGACCTGAGCTGAAAGCAGCTGATTAACCAACTGAGCCACCCAGGTGCCCCAGGGTAGTTCTATTTTTAACTTTTTTTTTTTTAAGATCTTACTTGTTTGAAAGAGAGAGCAAGCACGAGTGAGGGGAGGGGCAGAGGGAGAGGGAGAAGCAGGCTTCCCGAGGAGCAGGGAGCCCGATGTGGGGGCTCGATCCCAGGACCCTGAGATCAAGACCTGAGCCGAAGTCAGACACTTAACAGACTGAGCCATTCAGGTACCCCCACACGAAGGCATTTTTAAAACAGTTTTATTCCAAGCTAAGATTATGAGAGATTACAGAATAATTCATTGTTCTTTTCTCTCCTAGAAATCAGGAAAGTTGATGATCCTCTGCAATGTCACTTGCAAAATCGAAGCATTCAGAAGAGTGTGAAACAATGCTGTGAACATAATACATTTGCAAATACTCTTAATCAGAGTGAAAGTCATTTCCTGTTAAAGCAAAATTATGATATGTTTGACTTACTTGAAAAACCGTTAAAATCAAATTTAAGTTTTAAAAGCCAGAGTATAAACTGTAACTCAAAGAACTCTACTGAATTTAATGAAGATGGAAAATCTCTTCTGCATACTAACCATGAACAATTTTATAGTGTAATAAAATTTCCTATAAGTGTAAAACCCACCAACAATAATTCCCAGGTCATTGAGCAGCAGAGAACTCCGAAGTTGCGGAGAGCCCATGTATGCTGTGAATGTAGGAAAGTCTTCGTCAAGGTGTCTCAGCTCATTGATCATCAGAGAGTTCATACTAGAGAGAAACCTCATGGATGCAGTCTGTGTGGGAAGGCATTCTCTAGAAAATCCAGGCTAACAGAACATCAGAGAATTCATACAGGACTGAAACACTATGAATGTACTGAATGTGACAAAACATTCCTCAAGAAATCACAGTTCAATATACACCAGAAAACACATATGGGACAGAAGCCTTATACATGTAATGAATGTGGGAAAGCGTTCATCAAGAAGTGTCGGCTTATTTATCATCAGCGAACTCATACAGGAGAGAAGCCCCATGGATGCAGTGTATGTGAGAAAGCCTTCTCTACAAAGTTTAGTCTCACTACACATCAGAAAACTCATACAGGAGAGAAACCTTATATATGCAGTGAATGTGGAAAAGGCTTCATTGAGAAGAGGCGTCTTGTTGCACATCATCGAACTCATACTGGTGAGAAACCTTTTATATGCAATGAATGTGGGAAAGGTTTCACCTTGAAGAACAGTCTTATCACACATCAGCAAACTCATACAGAACAGAAATTATATACATGCAGTGAATGTGGAAAAGGCTTTTCAATGAAGCACTGTCTCATCGTACATCAGCGAACTCATACAGGAGAGAAACCCTACACATGCAATGAGTGTGGAAAAGGCTTCACCTTGAAGAGTCCTCTTATCAGGCATCAGCGAACACATACAGGAGAGAAACCCTATGTATGTAGTGTATGTGGAAAAGGCTTTACCATGAAGAGTGATCTCATTGTACATCAGCGAACTCATACTGCAGAGAAGCCATATATATGCAATGATTGCGGGAAAGGCTTCACTGTGAAGAGCCGTCTGATTGTACATCAACGCACTCATACAGGAGAGAAACCTTATGTATGCAGTGAATGTGGAAAAGGCTTTCCAGCAAAGATACGGCTGATTGGACATCAACGAACTCATACAGGAGAAAAGCCCTATATATGCAACGAATGTGGAAAAGGCTTCACAGAGAAGAGTCATCTCAATGTACATAGGCGCACTCATACAGGAGAGAAACCCTATATATGTAACGAATGTGGCAAAGGCTTAACTGGAAAGAGCATGCTGATTGCACATTTGCGAACTCATACTGGGGAGAAACCGTATATATGCAATGAATGTGGAAAAGGCTTCACCATGAAGAGTACTCTAGGTATACATCAGCAAACTCATTCTGGGGAGAAACCATACAAATGCAATGAATGTGATAAAGCCTTCAGGAAGAAGACCTGCCTCATACAACATCAGAGATTTCACACAGGAAAAACTTCCTTTGCATGTACTGAATGTGGAAAATTTTCTTTGCGTAAAAATGATCTCATTACCCATCAGAGAATTCACACAGGAGAGAAACCATATGAATGCTGTGAATGTGGGAAAGCCTTCACTACAAAGTCAGGGCTCAATGTTCATCAAAGAAAACATACAGGAGAGAGGCCCTATGGATGCAGTGATTGTGGGAAAACTTTTGCCCACTTGTCAATCCTTGTTAAACATAAGAGAATTCACAGGTAGTCACTTTGGGATAACCTGTTGCCAGTGATAGGCCCTCAAGATAATAGTATGTAATGAAGAATAACAATGCAAAGAATAGTATTATCTTCAGTGGTCAATTGTGTCATGTTTTATGTTGATGAAAAAATTTACAAGACAACTCACATACAATCAGCCTTGATGAAAATATTTTAGGACATTATACATCTAAAAAGTGTAGACTGAAATAGATTCTATGAATGTGACAGACTAGGAAAGCCGTCAGTGGGAAGTAGACGCTATCACATGATCATCACAGATAATGAATGAATATTTCTAATTGGTAGAACTATAACTGTGGGAAAACCTCTGCCCAGAAGTAAGACCTCAGTAGATGTCAGTTCACACTAGACAAGTACTTTCCTGTGGCAATAAATATAGTAGGGCTTGAAGTAATATATTTGCCAGGAAATCCATACAGAAATAATTTAGGAACACATTCAATGTGGTGGACTTTAGCAAAATATCAGACAACTTAAAGGAAAGAAGCTTTGGGGAAATGATGAATGAGAGCATTCTGTCATGTCTAAAAATAATTAACGGATAATACACCTAAACATAATTAATGGATAATATGCCTCACAAGCATGCAGAACAGGATACTTTGGCTTTATTTCTGATTGCCTTATCATTGGTTTTATAAATTTTAAATAGTGGCAGTTACTCTCAACATGGATTAAATTTTAATATGTACAATGCAGGAGTGTTCCATGCCTGTGTCATTATATAATTAACTTTTGAATTTCTTTAGTTCCAAGTTTAGTTGTTATTACAGAATACTTGAAGTTCTTCAAAATGAAGTAATATATTCATTTCATATGTATAACTCAATGTATTTGGATGTTTAGCCAAGTTTATAAGCAGCATCAATTTTGAATTTGAAATAAGTTTAGAATCATAAAAACTGGAATATATCAGGGATTTCCTAAATGCCCTTCAGCCAGCTACTTCCAAAGGTAAAATTTTACATAACCAGAGTTCATTACCAAATAGAGGAAAGTGAAATTATTATAATGCTTTTAGCCACAAGATTTACTTGGATCTCACCAGTTTTGACATGGACTCATTTTTGTTTGGTTTTTACGTACAGTTTTAAGAAACTTTATAATGTGTACGTTTGTGTAACCAACACCACAGAATGTTTTGTCTACACAGACTTCCTCATGCAAACCCTTCATAGTCACATTTTTCTGTGAACCTAACCCCTGGCATCAGAGATTCTGTAAGTTTGTCATTTGTAGACTATGAGGAAAGTAGAATCACTTAGCACTTACTCTTTGAAGTTGGCTATTTGACCTTGTGAGATAATAGAAAATATATACATTGGTCTCTGCCCCTGGTTCCTGGCACACACTCCTAAAACCCTTGTAAATTACTAAGTGATGAGTGCACTAGGGGCATTTTTTATTCTAATGAGGCAACCCTGGGTGGGCTCTCCTGTATGGCTTCTGGATGGGGACTTGTCACCAGAGAGACTAAGCCATAGAAGCTTAGAACTTTCAGCCATGCCTCCCCTCCCCATCTCCCCCCCCCAATCCTCCAGAAATGGGAGAAGGAAATTGAGTTAATAATTGATCAATTCTACCTGAGGAAGCCTCCATAAAATCCCCAATGGTAGGTGAACAGACAGGTAGGTGAACACATCCAGGTACATGGAGGGTAACATACCACAACTCCGTGGGGTTAGAAGCTCCTGTGCTTGGGACCCTTCCAGGACTCATCCTGTGTATGTCTTCATCTGGCTGTTCACCTATATTCTTTATCATAGCCTTTAATAAACTGGTGTAAGTGTTGTCTCTGAATTTTTTTTTAAGATTTTATTTATTTATTTGATTTTTTTTTAAAGATTTTATTTATTTGAGAGAGAGAGAATGAGAGAGAGAGAGAGAGCATGAGAGGGGGGAGGGTCAGAGGGAGAAGCAGACTCCCCGCCGAGCAGGGAGCCCGATGTGGGACTCGATCCCGGGACTCCAGGATCGTGACCTGAGCCAAAGGCAGTCGCTTCACCAACTGAGCCGCCCAGGCGCCCAGTGTTGTCTCTGAATTCTGTGAGCTGCTCTAGCAAATTAATGGAACCAGAGGAGGGGAAGCTCCCACTTGTAGCCAAGTCAGAAAATGTAGGGAATGCGCAGACCTGCTCCTTGCCATTGGCACATGAAATGGGGAGAGGGGCACACTTTGTAGGACAGGACCCTTCACCTGTGGGGTCTGCCACTATCTCCACGTTGACAGTGTCAGAATAGGGTTACATTGTAGGACAGCCAGCTGGTGTCCTGGGAAATTGCTTGGTGTGTGGCAATCCCCACCCACATTTGGTGACCGGAAGTGTCCTGTGGCAGTTGTGTGAATAAAGGAGACGCACAGGAGGAGGACAAGTCAACGTAGATCAAGCGAGGAGCTCTCTGGGCTCTTCTCCGCATTTGGACACCGGACTTAACAGCAAACTGGCCGCACCCAGGTTCTTCCTGCCCAATGGCTCAGGGCAACCGTCCACTTGCGGTTTTTCCCAAACTCATGATTAGAATGCACCCCACGCCATATCGGGCTTAGAGAGGTTCCCGCCTCCGAAAGGTAGTTAGCTCTGCGCCTGTGACCATCTCTTGAGAAGAGAGGAAGGCCCCGGCTGCCCTTAAGACGGTTCCTTTTCTTCCCGCGGAGGAAAGTGCTGGCAGCCGATGGCAGCTCCAGTCGGAAGCGCCAGACACGCTCCGTGAGGAAACGGTAGTCACCTCACACCCGCGTGCTCACAGGCCCTTAGAAAGCTGAGCCGCGTTTCTGGCAGGATGGGCGCCCGCCGGACACGATCCACGAGGAAATGGTGGCACCTCACAGCCGCGTGTTCGCCGGCCCCCGGCGAGCCGAGCGCACTTCCGGAAGGGCCGCCGCGCCTCTCGCAGCCCTCGACGCCCCCAGCGCTGGCGGGGCGGGGGGCGCGGAGAGCACCGCAGTCGGACGCCGTCCCGGGGGCCCTCAGAGGCTGCGGTGGGTCCCGAGTGAGGAGCCCAGCCGGTGAGGCGGGAACACGTGTGGGGTCGTTTTCCGTATTTGGGGTTTTATTTGGGGTCAGCCCCCGAGGAATGCGGGCGTGAGTTAAGGCATGGGCTTCAGAGACTGATGATGAAGGGCCGACGGCCAGGGCCTGGGGCCTGTGTGTTAACTCAGCCTGGCTCGGTGACTGAAAACTAGGTGGCAGGTGCGGATCCATGATCGCTGCCCCTCGGCTTCCTTAGCGATTTCACCGGGGGCTTCTGACGGGGAGCAGCCTGTGGCGGCAGGGGCAGGAGTTTCCATGGACCAGAGTTCCTGGGCTGAACTTGAGATGGAATGTGAGGTCAGTGTTGTTTGGGGAGTGCAGGGTTTGTCTGTGTTTGACAACATAGGAGTCTGGAAGTTTTGAGACCCATAGCCCGGGGCTAGTGGGTGTTTTGAGGCTCAACTTTTGGACAGTGGAAACATTTCCTTTCGGTTTTTCAAGTCCCTTCTCAAGGTTCTACAAAAACGTGAAGAAAAATTTGTCTCCTACATCCACTCTTCTCACTGTCCCCACAAAAACCGGAGTAGTTCACCATGATCAAGTGGTTTGTCCGTGAATAAAGAGAGGATTTTTAACTTATGGCCAAGTTTACCCGGATATTTCCTCTCAGGTTTGACACAAGTAAAAGCAACCATTTTCTTAAATTCTTCTCCTCAGTGAGAGCAATTTTGTTAAAAGAAATTTTTTAGATTACCTTTCCAAAAATTGGGGTCATCTACATTCAAGACTCTATCTTCTAACACGCCTGTCTGTTTTTGCATTGTCTCTGGCAAATATTAAGAGTTCCTCTTACTCCACCTTATCACCAGCATTTTATACTTTCAGTTTTTTTGGATTTTGGCAATTCCAATATCTGGGTATTTGTATCACAGTGCAGTTTTTAATTTGTAATTTCCTAATAACGAATGATGTTGATCATCTTTTCATATGCTTGTTTGCCATCTGTTTGTCCTTGATCAAGTGCCTGTTCAAGGTCTTTGCCCATTTTTAAACTGACTTCTCTTATTGTTAACTTTTAAGAATTCTTTGTGTTCTGGATACCAGTCCTTTATCAGATATATGACTTGTGTGATGAATGTATAGATTCTTTTTTTTTTTTTTTTTTTTTTTGCTTAGGAACATCTTCGTGTTCCAGCATGATGTGTTGAAGTCTGTCCTTTCACCATTGAATAGTCTTTGTACCTTTGTCAAACAGTTGAGTATATTTGCTTTGTGTGGGTCTTTTCCTGGGATCTCCATTGATCTATGTGCTTATTTTTTCAACAATGCTATCAATACCAATACTAGTATGGGTTTATAAGTCTTGAAATCTATTGATGTAAGCACTGTATGTATGATGGTTCTTTTTGGCCAGAATTGGTTTTGATATTTTCAGTGGAGAAAACTGGCACACATACCTTTACTAGATCAACATTAAGTCATTTTGATATTTGGTACCCCTACCTATGATGTGATGAGAAAGGAACTTCAGTTCTGAGTGTCTTTCCAAAATGCATAATCCCTGTTTAATGAGGAAAACTTAGACAAAGTACCTGATCAGTACTCCTCAAAATAATTGAGAGATGAAAAAGAAAAGACTAATGAATGGTCACAGACATGAGAAAATCAAGGAAACATATTTTCTAAATGCATTATTGCAGGCACCTGGGTGGCTCAGATGGTTAAGTGTCTGCCTTCGGCTCAGGTCATGATCCCAGGGTCCTGGGATCGAGTCCCGCATCGGGCTCCCTGCTCCTTGGGAGCCTGCTTCTCCCTCTGCTTCTCTCTCTCTCTCTCTCTCCCTCTGTCTCTCATGAATAAATAAATAAAATCTTAAAAAAAAAAGAAAGAAAAATAAATGCATTATTGTATTCTTGGGCAGAAAAAAGACAGTAGTGGAAAAACTTGTGAAATATGAATAGAATCTGTAATACAGTTGAGTATTATACAATGTTGTTTTCTTAA